CAGTCTTTGGCTGATAATTTCATGGAGTGTTATTTTCCCTATTAATTTCCAAAAAAAAAGTAAAAAAAAAAAAAAATGTGTAACAGGATTTGTTTGTGTAGTGGAGGGAGACAGAATTCTTCTGTACCATACTAGTTTTCATGTTACAATATATACATCTTTTGCTTCTTTGTAAAAGTAGGTAAACCACTTATTCCAGTTTAATCTATTTGAAGACTTTATTACTAATACGAATATGTGATAGCCAACTGCCTTGCTTTTCATATTCAGAGTAATTCCTAAATTACCAAACTGTATCAATTAACTTTAATGTCTTCTGTTTGCTTATACCATCATCATATACATCTCTTATGCTCTCTAATTCTCCATACCACTTCTGCTTATGAAGTTTTTCTTTCTTTGCTGCTTGTTTTCTGTGCTTGCCTGACTTGAGAGTGAAATCGTAACTCAGAATAAATGATCATATAAGCACATAGCAAATATTCAGAAATTTTGTCTCCTTTGTAGGAACCTGAAGAAAGATTGGTTTCTTTCAAGATAACTACTGAAACATAAATATCTGCAGAAAATTAAAGGGATTATAGACAACCAGAGGCAAAAATGCAAAGACAATTATATAAAAAACCTCTTTCCATACTGTTTTGGGTTTTCTTTCTTCTTCCCCATCTTTGAACAAGTGTCACTATAACATGTTTTAATTTCTGTCTTTTGGCTTTAACCTATAAGTATGCAAGTAGTTTATGAACACAGTACTATCAAATATTTATACTGTATGTGGTTACTACTGACTTAGAGTATTCGGGAAGCAGGTATCATACTGTCAGGCACCTGTTATTGTTTGGCATTCTGCTAACACCCTGAGTATATGTAGTTATACAGAAACAGTGACAATATTTTTTACAGAAGTCTGAGAAGAAAAAGCAGAGACAGCACACAATGCTTATATAAGCACAGAATGATCAATCATAGGGCAACACATTTAGGGAAATATTGTTTAAAAAGTACTGCAGTGTCTTTTAATGTAACAGGTAGCCAATATAATCAGTTTCTCATGCCTGTAATATGAAATTTTATTTATATTTGAAAATATTTTCTTTTATAAAATGAGGCATTGTGAACATGTGATGTAAACAACAGTACCATATTAAATGATTAACAAGTTTAGACTTTAGATACCCAAAGATGTGGGTATGAAAAATATGTTTAAATCTCACAATGATGCAGGGAGTGAGCTGCATAAAGGTTTGGTCCACTTTTCCTTCTGAATCCTGAGGGCAAGATTTACTAACGAGAGCTAGTTTAGCTTTTTATTCTAATATGGAAAGTCCTGGGAACATGGGCAATTTTGCTATAAACATATACATTTCCAATTAGTATAGTTCTGACTTTTTAAGTGAAATACTCTCATTCCTGTAATTTAATATGCATCTTAGCAACACATAGCTTCTCTACAAAAGTTTACCCTAGTAGTTTGCCTGGAATGTGTTTCAAAGATCACTGTACCTGGCATAAAAAGTGGCCCTTGTGCTCAGTGTGCACTGGTGAATATTCATGTAATCACCTGAAAGTTTTTCACTGCTTATCCAGAAAGGCATTGCATGCAGAATAAGTTCCAAATAGGTTCTGTCGTCAGTCTCGCTCCCCAGTTTCTCCTAAAAAAGCTGCTGCAGGGAGGTGAAGAAAGAACTTTTTATTTTCTTTCACAAGTCCCAAAGAAACAAAAATCTACATTTAACATTCATACTAAGTCACTTTGGGAAAGATTCTGCCAACTTTAATTCACTCATTGTTTGGCTTGTAATAATTCTAAGCCATATGCTTTTTTAAATTTGCTTAAATTGGGCTAGGTTGTTTTGGCAGAGACAATTATACACATTCTTAAACGGAACACATATGTCCTGTTAGCCTTTTGCATTGTTAGTTGAAATTACAGTCATCAGTGTGCTTCTGATATTCAGACTCTTGATCATAGCTTTGAAAACATTGATCAAGGAAACAACACTGAGCCTCCGTGATGAAAAGGATCCTATTGAAAAGCACAATTAGCTACATTTTAATAGCCTTTTTAAAAGAAAACAAATTTACATATGTTTTTCCTTTTCCTTTTTATCATTTAAAAGGCTTGGTTTAAATATAGATGTTAATTCAGATTCTGTTGATTATTAGTAGTTTCCATAATTTTTTTTTTTTTTAACAGAAAATGCACTTCATTTAGTCTTTTTAGTATTTAGAGACCTTCAAGCTATAGAAAAGCAGAATGGGGAGGATCTGATCAAGCAGGAAGAGGAGTTGGAGTTGAGTGGTTTTGTTTTGTGGGGTGGGGAGTGGGATTTGTCTTTCATGACGCCACAGGCAACTGTTTTATTTCTTTACTAAGTTATCTGTGAATTTTTTAATTTGCAAATAGACAGTATTAATATGTGCTAAAAGGCTTCTGTTAAAAGTGTTCTATTTTAGATTCTTAAAGCTATTTTTGCTAGCTTCTTATTTTTGATAATATTAATGAACTGGGTTCAGTCAAGAGCATCTAGGGAGTTTATTTGGAATCTGCGTGTCCAGTAGACTTGATATTACTTTGAATGCTGAGATTCCAAAACTTAAAAAAAAAAAAAAACAAAAAAAACAAACAAACAAAAAAAAAAAAAAAAAAACAAAAAAAAACAAAACACAAACAGAAGAGCTAAGCTAAACTAGATTGTTTTGAAAAGAAAGTAAAGAAAGTAATAGCACTGGGTTTTAGGGCAAAGATATAGACACAAACGTCCTTAATAACCAAATTCTGAAGATGGTCCAGCTTCTGCTTTGGGACAGCATCTCTCTGCAGGAGGAAGCATTTTGTGTTCAGCAACTGGCTAGGTCATTTTCCACCTCTGACAGTGCTGTTTTTTTAAATGTTAGAAGTGAGCGATAATTTTTGTAGTTATATTCCTCCCAGAAGAGGTAGCAGCTGAAAGCAAGAAACACCTTCTCAACTGGAAGACAGGAATTTGTAATATAAAACTTGGGCACTCTTCTGGAAGGCAATTAAAGAAAGACAGCTTGAAACTGTTACTGGTAGTCTGTAGCATGTAGCCTGTATGTATATCTCAGCTATTTCCACTGACAAGCAATGGATCTTCATCTATCACACTTCGAAAATTAGAGATCTGTGGAAGTTCTTCCTCACAGCTGGAAAAAGAACCCAGGTTAGCTGTATTACCAGGCTCTTGCGCTTCTCAGTGCGTGTGACTAAAGTTATGCTCATTTAGGTCATTGTTGCAGTTACAGCTATTTTTGCATAGTTAGCTATGATTTGCCAATTTGAATACAGCAGGTTCATTTGCTTCTCTAACAAATAGCCAGATTTAAGCAGTAATCCTAGTAAGTGTTAGCTAACTTTGACAAGAACCTAAGGATCAAGAGACAGAATCAGTTGGTAACAGCCAATATATTGCAGCAGAGTATTTATTTTCCACTGGTGTATTGAGTAAAGGTTTAGAGAGTAAGAGTTTTAACAAAAACAAAATCAGAAAAACATAATTTTCCATGACAGATATAACGTGAATTATTCACTTAGAATATTGTAATTCAAAAACTTGGGATAGATTGATGAGAGAGCATTATTTCAGGGAATGGTAAATGCAGCACACTGGATTTGTCTCCACCTCTAACTCAAATAAAAAAGATTTCTGAAATTTTGTTTTTGATATCACATTTACCATTGCATTTATGTGAAAACAGTAAGAGCAGCAATTAGTTTTTCTAAACCTTACCCTGCTAATCAGTAGAATGACACCAGCCAAGGGTTTTACGCAAAATGTAGGCAAAACCACATATATTAATCAAAATATGGACAACATTTAACTGCTTCTAATGAAGAAATTACAGAAGTATCCGCCTGAAAGGGGCAATGGACTGGCCAGAATAAAGTTGTATAAACACCCTCTTGTAATTTGTGGATGCTTCATTGGAAAAGAGGATGCTTCATATTGGTTTGCAAACATGCTGGCTAGAATTTTTCATGGTTTCTGCTAAAAAAGGCATTCTGTGCTGGATACCTTTCTTAAGTGCATGTATCTCAATCCCATCTACTGAGGGGGAGAGGAGATGCAAGGCTCTGTGTTTTGCTTTAATTCATATCCTTAGAAATAAAATGAAATTGAGGAATGATGTTGAGGTTTCAAATATCTCTTACACAGCGAGGTCATCTCCATATAAAAAAAAAAAAAAAAAAAAAAAAAAAAAAAAAAAACCCAAACATTTGCCAGATGGTTTTTTTGAGAATGATATACTTAGGTTAAATCACATCCCTGATGCTATAAACCTTCCTTTCTGTGAGACAGGTATGGAAAGCGAAGACTGTTCAGTGTATCATTTTGAGCCCTTCCCAAAGAGCTGCGTAGTTGTTAGCATGACTATGGAATGAATCCTTGAGACCTCTATTCTTCCTTTATCTTCTGTGATTTTAGCAGTTTGGTTAACAGTTCACTGCCTTTTTCCTCATATTATGATGAACCAGGACGGAGAATTCCCATTTTCCTACTTGCCTTTTTTTTTTAATATTTCTAATCTATTTACCAAAAAAAAAAAAAGAGAATACAGTTAAGACAGTGTAATCTTTTTAGTCACCATCATCTTTTTCTTTCCCCTCCTAAACTGACTTTTCCAGACAGATCTTTAATTTAGGTTTAAAGCTGGCAATGCCACATGCCAAATAAATTAGTTCATTTGTTGACTTCCAAATAAGTGAAAACTAATTAGATGGATGCAATAGACTAGTGTTAGTAAGATAGTTATTTTAAGTCTGTAAGTCTATTACAGGCCTTAGGATAATAATACTAGAGGCACTCAAGTTTGAGATGAAAGAAACAGTAAAGACCTTGTTGAGTGTTAGAGGCACATTCCAAAAGAAGCAGCTAAATTTATAAAGGACTAAGAGGAGGAAATAAAGAACGGGAAAACTTAAGCAGCTTGGTTTAATGTTTATTTTACATATCACTCAACAACTTCTTCATACTTAGGTTGCTACTTTGGGACTGCGATGATCGGAGCTACAGCTACTACATTGAAGTTTCAACGAATCAGCAGCAGTGGACTATGGTGGCCGATCGCACAAAAATTTCCTGCAAGTGAGTTTAATTTTGTCCACTTATTTGCACAAAGTCAGAATTGTAAACTGTTTTTTTTTTTTCTTTAATCCTTTAATTCAGTACTTACATAGGTGACCTTTTGACTGTGAAAACAATGATCATTAAATAACCTGTAGATTATTAACTCTAGAACCCTGTAAATACAACTTTAGGATATAACAGCTTCTAGTGTGACTGAATATCTGGACTTTCAAACCAGAATCAAGTTCCAAAGATCCACATCTTCTAGATCTACTAGATCTTCAAACAATCAGTTTGATTGTTCATTCTCAGAAACAGTATGCCTACCATACCCTTGATTTTGTGATCACCCCACCCTGTGAAACATGGTAGGAAAGGAAAGAGTGCATGCTTGGTAAAGGATTTTCTTAACCAAATGCCTTTCTTCCTTATCAAAGCACATACATGTATTGTACCATATTTGAAGGGGGTGGGGAGAGTGAGAGTAGGGACCAAACTATAACAGGTTGGTTAACTAAGCTTGACCTTGTCTCTGTTCAAACGCAGAGTACCTGATTTACATTCATTGACCACTCTGCCTTTGAACAGGACCCTTCCATAGAAAAACATGCTTCTTAAAAGAAATAAAAAATAGAGAAAAACTTTCATTTTCATTCATATACCTAAATCAGGGGAAATCGGGCATGAATAGTCTCCACATATATGCTCTCCATTGGCTTTTCTGCAATTATTTGTTCTGGTGATAAAACACATCCTTCTATTACAGAAGAATAATTCAGTGTTGATAGCCTTCTTAAACCATTTGATAGTTCTAATTCTAAGAAAAGAATGACCCAGATACTTGTCATGGGACTGAAAAGACTGTCTGCAAATTTATACATTACATATCCAGAAGTCAGGTATGCTCAGCATTCAGTGATATTATATGATCTCCTGGCTGATTCCCAAGAAAGCTCAGACTTATAAAAATCTTATTTCCTTCATTTTCCTGGAGTCAGTTTTCCGTAAGATATACTTTCTTTCCAAAATGGAAGTCATCAGCTCATAGGAGAACAGCCCCCACCCATCCTGTATTTCTGCCAACCAAAACAGAATCGATTTTACAAATTCAGAGATGTATCTCAATTTGTCACATCAAGCAAGAGAGTTATTTAGTCCTTTCTAGCAACACTGCTGAAACATGTTTTTCTAAAGTTTATATTCCATCTCTTAACAAATAGTGCAATTCAAACATGTTATAATGTGGTCAAGATGTGTTGATGAAGGAGGACTTGACATGTCCTTTCACTGTTTGTAAAGGGCAGCATATTGATGAGCAGAAAAACCTGGGTTCTGCCTGCAAGTCTGGAGAAAGAGTAAAGGAGATTTAATCATTCTGAAAGGCATCTCAGCATAATAGATAAAATTCATCTTTTTGTCTGCCTCCAGCAGTGGGAACACTAAAAGGCTGAAACCACAAAAGAGAGACAGAGAGACTCAGAATCAGAATCTATTTGCACTTTTTCCTTATACGTTTTGATATTAATAGCCTGTAACAGTCGGAAGGAACACTTGCTTAAGGATGCACAGTACAGGTGAAATTACTGATTGACTGCCCAGTTCAAGTATCTACTCACCATATTCAAACCACACTTTTTTCTTTTTAAAGCCTTAACCTTGGACAAGTATAGGTGCATCCCTGAAATAAAGATAGCTGCCTTCTTATGATGTACTTCAAGATCTTGATTCAAAACATAGGTGCTCTGGAAGTTCTCAAAGTTGTGGCTGCAGGTACTATTTTTATGTGGATTAGAGAACTGCATTTTGCCTAACTTGCTCTGACAGATAGGCATCAAGCTGGCAAAATGCCGGTCTTTAATCCTGAGGTCTGCAGATTTACAGTGTCCTACCGCTGTCAGTAACTATCTGCTCTAAATAAATACAAAGACCTGATCCTGAAGCTTACAATTACAAAAGCTCAGTGGACTCCAGGACAATTCAGTTTAACAAGGACTAGAAAATGGTAAAGAAAAAGCATCAATTTGCAAAAGATCTTACTCCTCTGAAAGTTTTCTATCCTCTGCAGTTACATTTAAATACTGTATCATCTATAACTGAGATAAGTTGAAGGGTTTGTGATCTTCCCCATCCCCCTCAATTTTCAGGTGATTTCTTTGAATTTGACAGCACTTTTTCATGTTCAATTTAAATCTCTTGGCATTTATGATCATCAAATTGGCCTCCTTTTTTTCTTTACAGTCACACCACCACAGAAAATAAAACTCTTTAAATATGTTAAATTTTCTTGTCAAGTAGGATTTGCAGAAATGCTGAAATGACTTCAGCTCAAAAACTGCTTTGATTATAATGGCAGGGTGATAGCTCTGAATACTATATAAATAAGTATATATATGATATAGAAAAATAAGCATGTACAATAATATATATTTATGTATTAGATATTATTATATATTAAATATGTAAAATAAATATATAAAATATTATGTAAGTGCAGAATGCTACAAATGTTAGGACTGGTCTGTAAAGCACAGAGGATCATAATTGCATAGTCAGAGGTGGACCACTTATTTTACTGAAACATGGTATTATGACCTAGAAAGCCATGCTCTTAGTGCTCAAAACCAGGTGAATGTAGAATGGAAGAGACATTATCGTTCAGTGACTCACACACTGATTTAAGGCTCTCACTTAAAATTGTTGGGCGAGGTTTTAATATGGTGATGGAGACATCTTAAAGAAGAAGAGAAAATTGAACCAGTCACTGGTAGGAATATGTGAAGAACAACTGACTTTTTGGTGTAGTTCCTATAAGTTAAGAAAAAAAAAAAAAAGCATCTCAGAACAAAGTGAAAACATGGATTTTTTGCCATGCAAGCAAGCAAGTTATTTTCACTTTATATAATTTTAACAACAACAAACAAAGGAGGTGAAGAGTTGGATTTTAACCAAAATTAACAGATGGTGTAGTAAGGCAAAGATGGTACAGTTTGTCTGGTTTACTGTGATAGTGTAATGGTAAAGATACTCCTGCTGGATGCAAGAGATTACTCTTTTTCCCCTGTCTCTGTCCTTTCCCTTACCAGGATAACTTTGGTATTTTACTCAAACAGCACAGCTCCAACAGAGAGAAATCTGCCTCTGAATGCTTTTTAGTCAAGTGATTCAGGCACTCCTCCAGGAAAAGCAAGAATCAAACTGTGCCTGGATTTGACTCATCGTCAGGTTTAGGCAGACAGTTAGATTCCCGCCCTGAGTAATTTGCCTTAACCAGACCACAGTTTAATGGGGTGAAAGCAACAATACCCTCATCTCTTTCTTCTCTGTATGTTTATGAATGCCACTCTCACCTGGAAAAAATGAAAGATATCTTTTCCTAATGTGGTCAAATTTTGCAACTATTTTTTGTCTTGAACAAATTCTAATTTTTTTGAATACTTGGACATCGTGGCCCAAAAAGGACTGATCCTACCTTGGAATAAAAATTATCATCACTTAGGATTATGTGTCTTTGTTTAAAGAAAATGAGAAGTAGGTATGTCCTTGCATGGGACTATGTTTGATTACAAGTACCTGTCAGAGCAACAGTCAACTAAGAACCATTATAGATGTATTTGTGTCAGGCTAAAATATGAATTCTTGCCAGAAAGAATATGCCAAATGATGTCTGTTTCTCTTACAAATTTTGGAGGTATGAGTGCAGACTAAGTGGTTAATAAGGTCTTGAAATCCATGTTTACTCTTTCTGACAATAGTTCTGGGTTTAATATACTACAGTAGACTCCGGAAAAATAACTCACTTGCTTTTCTGTGTAGGATATGCTGCAGTAGCAAACAAAAGTGCATGGAGTTAAAACATGGGAGAATTTCATAGGGGCCCACATTTGAAAAGACAGAATACTTGCAGTGAGAAAACTTACTTTTCCAGTAATATTCTCCATTCACTTTCCTGTCTTCAAAGACATGTGGATAAGAGATGTTTCTTTGCTGTTTGCTGCCTGGCTCACTTCCTACCCGATTTTTCAATGGAGTTACAGTCCTTTGTGAAAATCATTGGCATGCTGACTTACAAGAGTCCCGTGAGGTCTTCAATTCATTTTGCTGAATCTCTGGTACAAGGGGTAGGATGAACTGTAAAGGTAGCAAACACAGGCCTCAACAGACACCTTTGATAATCAGTAAGTGGCAAACAAAACTATGAGAAAATTAAATTATGTTTAAATAGCATATATTGTTTTTTGCAGTCTTTTGAAGCGTGATCTTCCTCTTTAAACTATCAGTATGCTGCTTTGGCTTGGTTTAATGGTATTTTTAATGTAGTATTTTGTGTAAATTAATAATTCAGTGCTCAAAGACAGGAGCTGACAGGCTACTCCTCACCTCCTATTCTCACACTTTTAAAAGGCCGAAGACAGAAACTGGATGTCTATTATCTTCACAGGGGAAGCTTGCATACCTTCCCCGAGTGAGAGCCAATTAATGCATACGGGTTGTGTAATTGTCAATTTTCAAATGCTCTGTGGAGGCTATTTTTTTTTTTTCCTTCTCCACAATAAGCTGTTTTTCTCTACAGTATGACAGTAATGAAAAATGGTCATGTTTTGTTCTGTTTTTTAAAACATTTATGATAAGTGGACCTGAGCGTGTTAGTGTCGAACAATAGAGACCTGCACTTGTTGGAAGAATTTGCTGACAAAGCGTCTGAAAGTCAAATGAAAAACAGAAGATGCCAAAGGCCAGTAGGAGTCAGACCTCAGAGTTCATGACACTTGATAAAATAAGCCCTGTAAAGACAAATACAAAAACAGGCTATCATGACAGTTATCATCTCAGTATCATTCTTTAAAGTAGTTATTGTGAAATGGATCTGATCCATTGGCAGCAGATATACCATGTTCAATTCCTTAATAGGAAAAAAAGGGTCTAATACTCTGATAGAGTTTGGGAGACAATGAATATTGTTTATCAATGGGCATTTGTAAGGCAGTTGGTATCAACTGTCTCCATGACTGGTTTGGGAC